ATCTCGGAAAATTCCATGTATTTTGCTTTAGTTGAGACTGTTAAATATTAATAAATCCTTTCCAGTCAAAGCTGGGTTTTTGCATCGGAAAATGCTATTCAAATGGCGGCAGAAACGGCAAAAAAAAAGGGGGGAAAAGTTTTCCGCAACAATAGCTGCTTGTTTTTCTGAGTGTCTGCGCCTGGGTGTGTTTGCATTTCTCCGGATGGATGGATATGTACTGGGGAGTGCGTCTGTTTGGGGGTCCTTATGTAAATCGGTCGTTGTTCCTTTTAGCACTCCGAGCTCGTCCTCTGCTCACTTGTTTTTTGTGCTACCAAGTGTTGAGTGTTTTGTTATTGAAGCATATTTTCCTCATTTGTTCTCCAGTAGCTGCCTCCACCGAATTGTTGTTAGTTAAACACCACCAACAGCCACCAGGAAGAGGGTTTCTAAGGTGTATGCACAACTTTTCACTCCCGAACACTGAACCCTTTCATAAGGGACAAACCAAAAAATAAAGGGCTTAATGTGTGTATTCGCTAAAAGCTTGTTACTGTTCATGGCAACCGTGGGGTTGGAATGGCAACGGCTATGGCGGTGGCGGTGGCGGTAGGTCCTGGCCGGGAACAATTGGTAGGCTGTGTATTAAAAGTTTTACGGGCTTAAACTTTCGCCATCAAACTTGTGGCAGTCGCATAAAATGTTGCTACTACCTCTGAGCCTAAAAGTATGCACACCAGCCCACCAGCACACCAGCACACACGCCGGCACAACAAAGCCAACTTAACACACAATTGCGCTTTTGCATATTTGCGCCCTACTACAAAACAAACAAAATTCCGCGAGCCAAATCAACAGGAGAGCAGCCGGAAGAAGGATTTGGGGCCAGGGCTTGGCACTTCGAACCAGGTCAAGAGCTGTTAACTTGAAAATTACACAATTTGTGCATTTTGCAATGGAATTAGCGCTTAAAGTGCTCGGAAATACGCCAAACCACAGCTCTTAAAAATTAAAAACCCACTAGAAAGACTAGTAAACAAAGTCAGATAATTGCCAAAAAGTCGGTAAACAATGGGACACTTGACTGATCACTCCACATTTCTGTCGTATCAGCCACAATATTTTGGGTACTTGAAATCTACAGAGACTGAGTGCAAAAACCAGTAACAAAATGGCAGCCAATGCCAACCAGTTCATAATTGCTGACAGTAATTAAGGAAAGTGTGGAAAAAGTGACTGTCACTTGGTAAATACCCTTTGGGGGGGACTACAAACAACGGGGAGAGTGGACCAGATTTGTTTGCCCCAGCGGTTTCCGACCGAGGGGAGGTGGAAAGACCCAGCTGAAAGGCATTCCTCAACAGAGGCATTACACAAAGGTCCACAAAGCCAGTGACCGACAAACTGTTTGCACTGGCCGAATCACCAAGGAGTTTCTAATATAAAGTCAGTTGTTGGTTTACACTCAGCACAATGGGATTAGCGGTGGAAGTGTACCCTATAATCAGATTATCATCCTTATGGTGGAAGAGTTAGTTATTAAGAAGTTAAGAATTCGTAGTCAATAAGTTGGAATCTGTCACAGTTACTCTGGATTTTTCTACATTTAAATACTAACTTGATAAAGATTAAAATTATAACTCTTATACCCGCAGATATTCTAAGATAATCAAAAAGATTAAACTAACTGAAGATTAATAAAAAGGAAACCTAATTGCCATAACTTGAGATAATCTTCGATATTACTTATATTTTCTTCTCATATCTGCAGCGTTTTGATCTGCTTTGCACTGCCCTGAAACTATTTCGGTCGCTCCCCCACAGCTTTTAAATGGCAAACCTGAGCAGATACTAGGTGGGTGGTTGGTTGAGGGTGGCAGATGAAGATTAATTTGTATGTTCACCTTTCGGATGCCACTTGAAGAGTCGAAAGGCAGAGGAGATCCGGCACAAAGGCACAGTCACGGCCATCAGCTGCTCATCTCGGAGCCCTGGCCACTGCCTGCTGGGTGGCCTAAGGTATCAGAGAGGCAGAGGCACGGGTTCGGGTATGGAGACGGGTACAATGGGGCGTTAAGCATTTGTGAGATTCTTGTTCGGGGCCAGACACAGTGCCAAATGAATGATGAATGCTCGCCAAAGAGCTGCTTGTTACCCTCAGCTAGTGGATTCTGTTAAATGTGCTATGAAAAGTCGTTGCTAAACTGCTTGTATGAACTGCGATTTATGCGATTTCTCACTTTCGTCATGTTAAAAGAGTAATGTATTTAAATTCGAAGCTGTTGATATTATATTTATTAATATTAAGAACGGAATTTGTTTCAATTTTTAGTCGACAAAGCCGTAGGTCTTTGAAAACTTTGAGAGCTTTTCTTTTTTGGGAGGTACTTTGAGTTTGCAAGAAAATGTGCAAAATTCTTACTTTCCCTCATACTTAGGAATAAATTTATGTTTGTAACTTTAATAAAATCCTACTAAAAGAAAACTATAAAAGATATTTGTTCCGCCTGTTTCATAGCGAATATAAAATTGTTTAAAGAAACTTCTATAGTTCAGGTTTTAAAAAACTATTAATAAATCCTGAAAGCATAAAAATGTATATATATAGCCAAGCTAACTACTTCAAAGACTTAAGCTTAAAGGTGCCAAACTAGATTAATTGAGCCTTCGAGTCATTCAATCAATAATCCAATAATTTAATTTATGTGCTCTCGGATAGTGGATCAAAGGAGTTGAGTTGAGCTTAACCTGGAGGCCATCTGAGCAAATTTGCACGTGTCCTCAATACATACATCTTCTAATCTTCTAGGATTCCGAAGAGCGGGCAAACGGGAAAGCGGAAAGACGTCGCGGAATGCATTTTGCAATAATTTAACTTGAGTCATTTTGACCTAAATTGTGGCCTGCCACATCTTAGCGAAATGAAACCGCTTGCCTGAGGAGACTTTCATCTCGTATGCAGGTGTGTGAGATGAGGCTGGCTGTGTGAATGCTTACACTAATTAATGCGACACCTGCCTCATGTCACGTTCTAGTTAAGTTTTTTGTGTATTTGCAGATTTAATGAATGCAAGCGTTTTCAATTTTAATCCGCAAAAGCCGCAAAACTTTGGCTAGCCGCCATCATTAGCCGTTGTCAGGCGCCAGGCGTCAGCCTTGTCATTAAAAATGGCTTAAATGACAAGCAGGGGCGGTGGGAGATGGGAGATGGGAAAGCCCATTTCCGTTTTCCCATTTTCTATTTCCCGAGCCCCCCCTTCAGCACGTGTTTGGTGGGAAAACATGAAATGGGATGGCCGTTGGCTTGGCTAGGTTGATATTTTTGAACAAGAAGGGTCACAGGAGAAGGAGGTTCGAATTTGCCTTATTTAATAGTGACAGCCTGGAAATGCATTCTCTGCATTTAAAAGCCAAGCAGAGAGCTCCTTGAACTTCAAGAATTTCAAAGGCATATCGCTGAATGTAGTTCCATTAGCGGCAGGACCGCCCTCCCCCCAATCATCACTACCGGACTAGAAGGTATAATGGAAAATGCTGGGTTTCCATTAGCGCCCAGAATCGAAGCAGAGGCAGTAAAATTTAAAAGCGCTGTGCCTTTTGTTCTCCAACTTTCTCTCTTCTGCATCTCATTGAAAGGCATTCTCGCTTTCTCCGGCCAGTCCCTCCCTCCAGTCCCTCCCCCTCCGTGGCTTTGTGCCTGGCTTACTAGGGTTATGCCTGCGGGCTGATTCTATTTTGAAGGAGCACTGGCTCTAATGCAATATACTATACGAGTATACTATGCTATGAGAGTATGCTGTATGCCATGCTATGTGGGCTGTAACGAGGTCACTGCTTTGGGACAAAAGTTGTCAACTTGAAAATTACACATTCTGCAAATCTGTAAAAAATATTATATGTACGTACACGTACGCGTACACGTACGAGTGTGCAAGTGCAGGGGGCGTGGCCAGAGCCAACATATCTTTGACTTTCGCCAGGCACAGCAGCCAACTGCACAACTGTTGCCTTTATTTCGGCTTATCAGCCTGTAAAATGCGCAATTCAAATGCAAATGTGCAGCGTAATTAAAAATGTGCATTCCCCAACTCAGTTTCCCCGGTTATGGCCGGGCAGAGCCAATTTAAATATGTGTGTTTGCACACTCACACACACACATACTCGTGTTTATATGTATGTGGGAAATTTAGTTGGGACCTTCGGGTACCGAAGTGCCAGTGCCAGTGGCCGCTGGCCATAAAAAATAATAATGCAGAAAATGAACTCGGGAAGGGAAAAGTGGTTAAGGCTGAAATGCGATGCGGATCTGCCACTCCGACCCTTTGTTGGTTTCCTTTCAACGCCAACGTCGTCGTCATCGTCATCGTCATCGCTGGTTTCCGCAAATCGCTTTAAGCCGCACTATTCATTGCCTCTAACTGGGAGCGCTTTCCACCTGAAAGGGCTCTTGTAAATATTCAATTTCACACGTTCTATCAGCCACGTTCACCACCCACCCATCCACAAGCCCACTACCAACCGACCCACTGGCCAACCGACAAACCATCTAGCAGCTGTCAGCCAGTTTGGCCGCAAAAATCGGCTCTGCTCGGCTCGGAAAATAAAGTCGCACATATTTTCAAATAAAGCCGCCGTTATCACAAATTGACAGCAAAGTATTGTGCGGCCGACTACTTTGTCCCAACAGCACGGGCTGTTGGTTAGGGCTTGTTCCCGAAATGGCCAAATGGCTTTATGCGGTCAGACAACGGGACGGATACGTGATGGGGGGATTGGGTTATGGAAGGGAATGAAACGCCACGGAACCGAACGGGACGCGACTTCCGCTTCCGGTTACACAAACACACACGCACACACACACAAATACGTAGCTCTAAAGTACCCTGCGGTCGGCTGTCACTGCGATGATTGCGCTGCACACAGCCAGTCAGCTTTGGAAAACTAATAAACCCACCCATCCCAAAGCGCTTTATTTAACAATATTAAACATCCAATCTGCCACTGGCAATTTCCGCACTCGTATTGCTTTTGTGTGGCCTGTCACATAGGCCAAGGAATATTCAAAACCATTTTGATTGCCGATTAACGAGCACACACTCAAAATTCCAAAAAGCACAAGCCCAGGGCGTCATCGATTGCTTTTTAACCGACTTCCAACTACTCGAACCCGTTGATTGTATCCTGATATGGACGGAGGAGGGGACAACCAGCTGTCCGTGAGATCCTTCCGTAGGCATCCTGAAATCTATTCATACTATGTCAACGCTCCGGTCCAAGGCCTCCAAGGCCCTGATCACGCCCAAGGAGACGCAGTTGCCCTCCAAATCGCACTACACGCCTTGATCATAGCCGAACTCGCCGAGGATTCTGGTTTCGAGTCCGGCAGTGAAAGTGACTGAGCGAAAATGAAAACTTGGAAAAATAACTTCGGTAGTAGCTTTCTCTTCCCTGTGAATCATTATAGCATTAATACATAAAGATATGACTTCTTGTTGACTTCAATTATGTTTATTAGATTATGAACTAGGGAAACCAAAAGGGGGATATTGTTATGCTTTGAGCAAAGCTTAAAGTTAAGTTAAGGAAATTAGTTAAAAGGCTTACCGTTTCCTCTTTTCTAGCATCGAAGCCTATATATTCCTGGCAATTGATATGTAGCCATTAGAAATTAGTTTTCTTGATATTTGAGTTCCAATAAGTATGCCGATTTTCCAATTAGTTCATCGGATAGACACTGAATCGAAAACTAATGCAGCAACTTACCTTTTCTAAGAGGCTTAGCTCCCATTGAAATAAAACAGACACTGACGCAATGTTTCGAAATGCCTTAGTTGGGTTTCGGTTTATTCATGTCGATTTGATTTCAATTTGATTTCAAACACAAATTCAAATTCCATTTAAACACAGGGATGCTGGTGCATCAGTGTGCGAGTTGCAGATTAGTTGAGAGTTGTAGTTACATTTATTTTACACATACATAAATACGCATATTTGTATACATTTTTAATACGCTCGTCCAAGATGAATTTTTCTATTTTCTATTTATTTTTTTCTCATTGAATTTGTTATACGAGGATGCCCTTCCGTTTGCGTTTCTCTCTTGTGGAACATCAATAATAAATATTATGTTTGCTTGCATGGGTGTGTACGGTCGGTGTATACGGGTGTGAGTGTGTACGTATATGTTGCATTTTGATTTCATAGTTTCATATATAGTTCTATATAGTTCCGGTCGAGCTGGCTTATAAAGAACTCGCTCGTACCTATTTTGATTTGCTTATAATCGAAATTGTTTCTACTTTTCAAGTATATTTTTTCCGCTTAATTTAACCCTTCCGAATAAATCAAAGTTTATCACGCCTAAACTTGCTTTGAAATAAATGCTGTGTCTTTGCCGCCAGAAACCAAAACCAATAACTTTTCGGAAGTCGCTGTAAATTTTGAATTCACTGAATCTATTCGAGGGCTTCTAAGTATTATATATAGGGGGGTATAAGGGTATAGGGGTTACGTCTTAAAATTGTTATAACTACTCGATATGGTGTCTTTCTTTGCCAAGTTCAGCTTTGTTAAAACAACTTCCATACAGACTACATCATTATTCGATTCATAGATTACGTATAGTTTAATTTCAAAAGAAGCGCCAAACAATAACAGTTCATGCATGCAAACGAGAAACACTTTGTTTGTTTTTAATATCAAAATTAAAATATTACACACGTTGGTTCATTATTTGTCATTGTTCAGTTTTTTTCGTTATAGATTTTAGTTGCCTATATTTTTGTATAATTTTTTTTTTTTTGCGCTTGGCTTTCTCCTTTTGTTGAATGCATTGAAAACGCCACACGCTTTTGTCTCAGTCGGGAAATAATCTTCAAACTGAACTCAATACACACCTGGGTATAGATATAGGTATAGATATAGATATATGTATATATATATATATATATGTTTCTGTTGTGGTACATCTATAAATTCATTACGATTGCTACTGCTGTATACATTTAATGGTTTCGATTTCGTTTTCGCTTTCGCATTCGGGCTTCGATCAACTACATTGTGGAGAGAGAGATGAATTCAGATTCTTATAAAATGCATAAACATTCAGCTTAAGTCTAGACTGCCCCTCAACTGAGGTATCCCTCGTCCTTCTCTCTGGTCGGTTTAGATCAATATATATATATATATATATAGAGTTTTATACGAATATAATATATGCTTGCTGATAGGTTTCGTTTTTAGAGAGTGCTCGGGGCACTCGTGATAGGGAGGGCTTTACACTGAAATCCATACAATTTATATTGAGTTGAGTTAGTTGAGACCTTGAATATGGGCAATATGAGAGCGAAATCCGTTGTGCGGTGAGTGTGAGAGCTCCACTCGGTTCGATTCCTATGGCTGGCTGCAGTTGTGGCTTCGGTTTCAAAATTTAAATCACGATTCGATCTATTCAAAAACTCCCACACCTCATGCCTAAAACCCGCCGCAGGGGTGTTGCACCTGGCACCTGGCACACCTGACACCCGGCACCTGGCACCCCGCTCAGCTCCACTTCGCGGCTATCCTTGCACCAACTTACAGCACAAACCCGTAACCTCAGTAACCAGTCGCATCGAATAGATCCGGCAGGACCAGCGGTGGGCAATTGTGCGGACTGCAGGTGACGCTCGGCATCTCGTCGGGTGTCACGGCATCCGTGCAAATGCACTGCAGACAGTTGCCCGTATCCTGTGGCAGAATGTCGCCAATTTTATACAGTTTGCCTGCAACAACAACGACGGAACCAAGTTCGATTTGCAGTTTAGATGGGATTAGGAAGTGAGCAATTGTGACGAGCAGTAATAAAATACAGGGGCGGAGGGCGTGCTGATTTCGTTACACAGAGAAGCAAATTTGACATATCTTAATATAAGGAATTTTCGTTGTTTTCACCAACAATTTAAAATGCTATATAAGACCCTAAGACTCATGGTAACTTAGAATAAAATATGAATAACTATAGCTCTGATTTTTGGAAAAGTAAGTATGGTATTACCTAGTTTAAGAGTTCTTAGAATGAATATCAACAAAGACATTTTCTAGTAATGATAAAGTAAAAGAATCTTTCTTCTTTGGTTTTAATGGTTTTTACTTTTGTTCGTACAGTAAAACCTGCCATTAACAACCCTACGGAGTATTCAAAGTTTAAAATATCCAATTCTATGATTTCTAACAAATTTGAACAATTAGCGTATTGACCACAAATGCCAAAGGAATATTTATTTCTCTGTGTAGCTCTAATCTCTTTGGACCTCCGTTGACTTGGTTGCTTACCCAAAACATTGCACATACGCCCTGGTGCCAGCGGCGTTGTTGTTATAATCGTTGTCAGGGTGTACGGCGGAACAACAGGGCTCTGCTGAGGTTGATCCTGATTGCTGATGCTGCTGCTGCTGCTGCTGATGCTGATGCCACTGGCTGCCTGTGGGTCCATTGTTGTCCCTGCTGCTCCATCCTCGTTGTTGGTGTTGCTCTTGATGCTGCTGTTGCCATTGTCGTTAACGCCTGACGTTCTGTTGCCATTTGCAATTAAATCCGTTTGGCGACGGGGATGCACATCAACTGCAGTTAGTGTAATGTCAATATTGACAACGCTCCCATTGAATTCGCTGCTGTAATCGTTGTACGAGCTGCGAAAGAAGACGGCATCGTTGCCATTGTCTTTGCTGATGCCCCTGTCACTCTTGTTGGCCATGCCAACATCATCGATTATTGTCGATGCCGGCGTTTCCTGCTCCACGTTATCGTCAAGCGAGTTTGTGTTGTCAGCATTCAGCTCGGTGGATGTCAGCCATCGATGGAAGGCGTCGTCGGGTTCCGCGTCAGGTCCATTGCGATCATGTTGCAGCTGTCCCCGTTGAGTAGAAAATAAAACGCAGACTGTTAATTCGACTTGACTGCATAGTAAATAATAAAGCAGCTCGAGCATGAAAAACCCCATTACGGGAAGCATTTCGGGCTCACTGGACACATCGAAAGCGCAAAGTTACAGCTCCTCGCTGGGGCAGCCAATGAAGTGGCAGTCGCCCAGAGCCTAATTGGGTAAGTTTCCCCCGGGCCCTTAAGGGCGCACACGAAAAGCACAAAAATAAGGCGCAATAAGAGCTGGTTTCGTGGTTCGAATCTTAAAATACCCTAAGCTCCTGACAAATGCAAGATAATACTTTTAGAAGAGCTAAAAGGCCTTGCTTCTTGGTCAGATTGTAGATGCTGGTTGTTGTTCCAGAAACATGCAACATTAATGAACCAAAACATATTATTACTTCTTAGCAAACGTAAGTTATGTTAGTTACTGACACCTTCTTTACCATTTTTAGACTTCTAGTAAAAGGGATAAGAGAGGTAACAAGAAGTGAAGAAATATGCATCTTAAAAACTTTAAAATCTTTCACTATTTCTATTTTGTTTTAAATTTTAATCTCAACAGCTAGTTCTAGTTAGTTTTTCTACTTCTTCAACGTTTTATGATGGATGTGTTTTTAGTAGCACTTTGCAAACTCGTAACCAACTCTATGATACCTTCTGCCAGGACACAAAGCCCGAAGGCTTTGGACCCTTCTCTCATGCTCCCCAACTCACATTTGTGGCTGCAACTGTGGCCCCGGACTTCTCCATCCCAGACAGCGTGCTTGTCAGCATTTCATTTGTTCCTGTCGCCGTTGTCGTTGTCGTTCTCGTTGTCGTTGTCGTGGTCGCAGACGTGGATGCCACTGTGGCAACTGCCCGGGTTGTCATCAACGCCTTGGCCGTGCTGCTGCTGCTGTTACTAGTTGGCCATTGTGTGGCAGCTGCCTTGGGCTGCTTTGTTGGCGGCTCTGGCAAAATATCGCTGTCGGTTTCCGCCTCATCAAAGTTTTTATCAACGGCCAAGTCGACGCTGGGTTCAACGGCTGCATCACCATCTGCCGTGGCTGCTGCTTTCGATCCAGCCTCAGATTCAGATGCGGACTCGGACGCCTTTTGTCGTGCCAACGCCTCTTGCTGCTGCTGCTGCTGCAGCAGCAGGCGCTGCTTCTCGTGCAGCAAGTGCTGCTGGTGGTGCTGGTGCTGGTGGTGCTCGTGCTCCTCGGTCTTGTAGTCGTAGTACAGCACGGCTGGCAAGTTTTCGGGGAAATTCAGGATTTTGCTGGCCGAATGCGGCTGCTGGTGAGGATGATAGTTATGTTGCGGGGGCGATGGTGGGGGCGCTGTCGAAGCTGGCTGCTGATAATGCGTTGCCTTTGCTGGCTGATTAACAGACAAAGCTGCCACATTCTGCTGCTGCTGATGTTGCGGCATTTTGTGTTGCTGCTGCTGCTGCTGCTCGTGTTTGTGTTGCTTGATTATATTGTAGTTGCCACCATCGGCGTTCTTGTGTTTCTGCTGGATCTGGAGCTGGAGCTGTTGCTTTATGGTGGACTTTTTATAATCCGGCTGCTTCTGCTTCTGCTTTTGCTTCTGCCGCTGGCTGTGGTAAACTTCGTAGTCATTAAAATTCTTTTGATTCTTGTGATGCTTATGCCGCTTGCCAACTTTCCTAGCCGCTTTATGCACTTTTGTTGACTTTCCCGTTGTGCTCTCTTGGCGATATGGATCTGAATAGTCACCATCACCGTCGCCATCGCCATTGCCGACGCCTTCGCCAACGCCAGAGCCACCACCAACACCACCACCAAGTCCAAGTCCAACGTTGACGTTGTGGCTGCCACCCGACACCGCCTCTCCCGCCGCCCTCACCTTGTTTACATTGGCCTTATCTGCGGGAAAAAGGCAAAAGTTTCTCGTTATATTATGCATGCCGGAAAAGCCGACGGAGAACTAACCGCACTTCTCCCACCAGCAGAAGATCTCGCCGTCCATGCAGAGACACACCTCGCAGGCATCGAGGCGGGGGACCTGGAAGAGGATATAGCACATGATTTAAATGTTTCCCTTCCGAGGGTTTTGGCCAGCAGACTGTTAGCAGGTGCTCTTGCGGCTTATATACAGATGTGGGTTCATATGCATATGAACCCACAACCAAACAATCAATCACTATGCCAGCCGATTTGATGGCTTTGTGCTACAATGAAAACGGGTGGGCAGAAGCCACATCTCGGTAGAGAGAGCAGGATGTCTGCTCTGGAGCTGGCAGCTGTAGATTGCCGGCATTCATATCATAACATCTGCCGTAACGAGCCACAAACTCAAATTATGCAATCTCTTTGTTCAATTACTAGAAATGTTCATCAGATTATGGTTATTCTGATGGCTATAGGATTCTGCATCTCTACAGATACTAAAAGGAATTTTTAGATGCACAAATTTTAAACAAATATTAAGACTGCACCAGGAGAAAAGCACAGTAAGTATTGATATTTCCGTATTCAGCCTTAGGTATGACTTGACCTTTAAGAGACCTTAGAATGAAACCTAAGTGCTTCTGGTAAAGTAGCAACATGTTCTGGAGTTTCAGTCCCACAAAAATGTAATCAAAGTATCTGTCGGTGTCACTCAATCTGAAGCTTTGATGTGTTAAGCTGTAATTTAAATCTGGTTTTAAGAAACATTTATTTAAAACTCATTTTTTAGCACATTTTAAGTCATCTACTTCATTTTGAAGATGTTTCTGTGACACTGAGATATGAGTACTTAATTAAAAAACTTATTTGGGACTTTTCTAAATATAAAAGGATTTAAATAATGACTTCAAACTCTGATCTAATACTTGATATTCTTATTCGTAATATCCCAGATTCAAAACCTACTTTCAGAACAAAATCAAAATCGAATTTCAATTCTGTCCAGTGTGCTTGGCTAAATGGAAAACCGATTTGAAATATCGCTCCTGACTTCATCCTACCTTCTGTCCGTGTGTGTACTTGTGGCCGTTGGTGAAGCACGCGGCTGCCCTGCTGCGCGGCTCTAGGTCCTCCTGGGTAGAGGAGGCGGCATCCAAGCCAGATCCCACTCCAATCCCTTGAGCTATGGGTGAGTCAGCATCCAAGGCGTTATCCTGTGCACCGCTCCCCCTCTGCTGCTGCAGCTCCGCGTCGCTGAGCATCTGCTGCGAGAGCAGACGAGCGTCGTACTTGGCCTGGGATTGGGCGGTGTCCAGGTCGTAGTTGAAGTCCTCGTGCTCATCTACATACTCAAAGGGCAAAGCTGCGAGAAGGCGAGAACAAATGCAAAATAATCCCATGCTTATTTGACTTTTCACATGAGAAAAAAGTCGAAAAAAACTAAATGTACATACTGTAGGGTGGACCCGTTTTGCATGTACCATAACTTTGGAAATGGAAGATAATATCTTATGAAGTGGAAGGTAGAGGTGTATCTTTTGCTCTTTAACTACAATAGCTTTACCTTCTTAGCTCTTCCTAATTCTAATTCATAAAAAATCATCGCCAAACTAGTAACTGAGGTGTACGGTTGATTTCATTGAAGTAAAGTAAAGCTAAGTAAGTTAAGTAAGCTAAGTAAGTTAAGTAAGTTAAGTAAGTTAAGTAAGTTAAGTAAGTTAAGTAAGTTAAGTAAGTTAAGTAAGTTAAGTAAGTTAAGTAATAGTTAAGTAATAAGTTAGTAAGTTAAGTAAGTTAAGTAAGTTAAGTAAGTTAAGTAAGTTAAGTAAGTTAAGTAAGTTAAGTAAGTTAAGTAAGTTAAGTAAGTTAAGTAAGTTAAGTAAGTTAAGTAAGTTAAGTAAGTTAAGTAAGTTAAGTAAGTTAAGTAAGTTAAGTAAGTTAAGTAAGTTAAGTAAGTTAAGTAAGTTAAGAAGTAAGAAGTTAAGAAAAGTTAAAGTAAGTTAAGTAAGTTAAGTAAGTTAAGTAAGTTAAGTAAGTTAAGTAAGTTATAAAGTTAAGTAAGTTAAGTAAGTTAAGTTAAGGTAAGTAAGTAAGAAGTTAATAAGTAAGGAATATAATGTAAGAGTAGAGTAGGTAAGTGAGGTAAGTAATAAAAGGAAGTAGAGTAGTTAAGTTAAGTAAGTTAAGTAAGTAAGTAAGAAGTAGTTAAGTAAGTTAAGTAAGTTAGTAAGTTAGTGTTAAGTGTTAAGTAATAAGTTAAGTAAGTTAAGTAAGTTAAGTAAGTTAAGTAAGTTAAGTAAGTTAAGTAAGTAAGTTAAAGTAAGTTAAGTAGTTAAAGTAAGTTAAGTAAGTTAAGTAAGTTAAGTAAGTTAAGTAAGTTAAGTAAGTTAAGTAAGTTAAGTAAGTTAAGTAAGTTAAGTAAGTTAAGTAAGTTAAGTAAGTTAAGTAAGTTAAGTAAGTTAAGTAAGTTAAGTAAGTTAAGTAGGTCAAGTAAGTTAATACAGTTACCATTGGTCCTATCAACGCAACCACATTACATTTAACAAAAAGTTTATGAACCAATTATAATTAAAACTTAATGTAAAATTCATCTATAATTTCGATTCACAAATTGTTCATTTTTATTTAATAGGCTTTTAATCATTAATCATTAATTTATTTACATAGGTAGTGGGTACGACTGCTGGCGACTTATTGTAAATAAAAATAGAGAGCGAATAAATTGAATAAATAATTAATTAATAAGAGTCGTGACTTGTACCCTTTAATAAAAAAGTTTATTAACAAAAAAATAAAATACAACAAATTATAGCTCTGCAAACGAATTGTAAATTACTTTTCAATTTGACTATCTTGGTTCTTTCCACGAAACTTAACGAAACTTAAACAAATATGCATATAACATCTCTGATCTTTGCACTTCCCCACTATCAGCATTTTAAGACCCAAAAAAGTCGTAAAATCTTGGGTAAAATCCACACTTAAATCAATTTCATTTTTATATTTGTCCATTATCAAAAGTCAGATTATGTACCCATCACCTAATATGTACCATTAGCGTACTAATAGATTACTTGCTGACAAGACCTTAGCCATAGATTTATTCAGATGCTTAGCTTACTTATACGAGGTGTGTTCAAAAAGTAAGGTGACTCTTCAAATTTCGCGAATTTCAAATTTTTCGATTATCGAAACCTTTTAGAAGTTATACGAGGTGTGTTCAAAAAGTAAGGTGACTTTTCAAATTTCAAATTTTTCAAATTTTTCGATTATCTTCAGTTTTGGGAACAAGAAAAAGTCACATGGGGCCAAATCCGGTGAATATGGTGGCTGAGGCATTATTGTGGTGTTGTTTTTGGCCAAAAAATCCAAATCCTTTGATCCATATTTTTCGATAGCAAAAAATCGCCGAGCTCGCAAAACAACTTGTAACTTTACGCCTCTCACAACCAAACAAAAGAGGATGTTCCATTGAAACTTGGTACAGATGTTAGGGAAGAGTGTACCAATATAACAAAACAAAAAAATCGATAATCGAAAAATTTGAAATTCGCGAAATTTGAAGAGTCACCTTACTTTTTGAACACACCTCGTATATGCATTCGATCTATGGGGGACTTGCTTTGATAGATAAGGCTTATAAAGCCTCACAAGTCGCTCAGCTTTTCAGTCAAAATTGTGTTCTGAAAGCTTTAAGATGCGTTTAGCTACTGTAGTTTGTTTAGTGATCGTCGTTCTACTGATTTCGGGCTCCGAGTCAGCCGTTTCAAGAGGCATCTTCAAGGATCCAGCCCATCCTGGAAAGTGTGTCGTCGCTGGCTTAGTCCTTGTAAAAGGTCAGATTGCCCGCCACCCACAAAGGTGTGAGAGAATTATTTGCGGAGACAACAGCCAAGCAGAGTTTCATTCGTAAGTTTAAAGACGATTAAGTCGTTATCAGAAAAATAACATTTCATGGAATTGAATTTAGATGCGGCGCCTATGGAATTCCCCCCGGTAAGAAATTCGGAAAATACACGGCCCCAAATGCTGATTACCCCGCTTGCTGTGATCGTGAAATTATCAATGCGTAATAAAAATTTTAAAAATTAGTAAAGATGAATAAAGTTAACTCTGAAATCAAGTCTTGCGAATATAAAATACCCGTTACTGTTTTAATCGTTAATAAATTTTTAAAATAATAATTTTGCTGGCAGAAACTAACGCAGATGAGGAATGTTTACCAACTGACAGTGACATCACCGCACATGTAGGGCCTTAGAATCGTCATGTTTTGATAAATTGTAAAATAATGTTACGATATGAAAAATTTTAAAAAACTGACAATAAATATTTAAGGTCAAACCAAAACATAAACCTTGATGATATGGACGCCAATGGTTTTCTCGTTCCGTTGGTATAAGATTAGGCGTGACTGAACATCTTTGAAATGTCAAGGTCTTTCAATCTTATAGTTCTTGAGATCTTAAAATTCGTACAAAAAGACGGAAATGGCTAAGTCTACTTGGCTATTGATCTTGATCTAGAATATTAATTAATAAGAGGGCCAGATAAGTTTCCTTCTACCAGTTACATAATATTAAACGAATACTTTATAACATTTTACTATATGATAACAGATATAATATTCATAAGTTAACCACACGTAATTCATAAACTTTACTTGCGAGCAGAAGACCTTAGCTATTATTGCTCCTAGCCCTAAGTTAGCTCTTAGTTTTAACTAATTCTTAGTCTTGGATAAATACAGAAATAAATGAGTAACAGATATAAAAGAAAAAGAAGAAAGAAATGTAACAGAAATTCACGTGTAATATTTTATAAGCGCAACCTATTGGTAGAACCGCATAGGAAATGGTTATGGACTTAGGAATGATGGTGTCGTTACAGTAAATGTATGACCTTAAAAACTTAATATTTTTTTAAATCGTAAAACAATGTTCCAATTTCAAAAATGTTTCCTAGATTTATGAGCCTTAACAAAAAAGATTTTAAGTGAAATCAAACTTTAAACATTATCATTATTTATGCCTCACTTTTTCGCAGGTTCTTTGCCTTTGAGTAGGCGCTCTGCTGCATTGTTAGAAACTGATTTCTTTTAAGATAGGAAACACTTTCTTCTATCTGTTGCATTCTTTTCGATGTAAGCAATATACCCTTTTACTTAAAGATGTCTATGCTCGAAGGTTGTACAACCTTATTAGTAGAAGGACATACATAGCTACTTGATTAGCAATAGTAAGGTATTGCTCTAGGTTACTCCCCATTTTAAAATTTAACTTAATAAGTTCTGAAAGAATAGTCTGATTTATAATGATAAGAGATACTAATAAACAAAAAAAATACATTCAAATTAAGAAATAAAAAGTTCTAACTTTAATAAGGGCTGGACATACTTTTCCTACTTGCAAGCTTTAGGAATGGGGTGCCCATTTCTATCCTAATATCTCAACCTACTAGCTATAATATTTTCCGATATCTAGGTGTTCATACAGACTGACAGACGGACACGGATTGATCAACAAAGCTAGAAGAGCACGTTTATCGATCTTAAATGTATATCGGGTTTTTGATGACAAATGCTTATTTTTTTTCTGTTTTTAAAGAGACCGCTAACTATAAATAAAACCCTTAACTTTGACTTTTGGTAATTTATCATTTTTGACGAGGTCCACCCTACTGTAAGCACACATAATGTAATCGGCAAGCTGTTGCCACCTTACATATGAAATTTTGGCAAAATTTCCAGAGGCCATAAACAGGCGCGTTGCTGGCATTTTATTATGCATATTTGATAAATTATCATAAAAATAAGAAGTGAAATAAATCACAGGCCACATAAAGGCAGGCACACTCGCATTCTGTATGTGTGTGTGTGTATGTTGTTTTATGGCAAACAGTTGTCATTAAATCAAAAGGCTGCACTCATTATGACATAAAAGCGGTGAGCGGGGAAAGGCGTAGCCCGACTGATGGCTGGTGACTGGCAAATGGAAAATGTGAAAACGTGAAATGTGAAATGGGAAAGCGCAAAGCGCTCATAAAAATTCAGAGTGAAACGCTTGCCGTAATTTATGTAATACAGATTTAATAAGGCTGTAAAATGAATTCTACGTTTTTATTCCGTCTGCTCTCCATAATTCAAGTCAAGCAATCAGCGGCAGAGAGTTGCTTAAGCCGAAGATGGAGGGAGTGCCCAGACATCCGCAGCAGACTCACCCTTGGTCCGGCAGAGTAATCCCAGTATGGTGGCCAGCAGAAGACAGGACCTCAAGGAATTGCCGTTCGTCATGCTGTCGCTCCTAATAATCCCAAGAAGAATCTCACTTTCGGCGGATTTCACGGATGGCATTGCACTTTACTTGCTGCACATTACTTGCACATTTTTTGCTCTTGCTCCTGGCTCTTTTTTTTGAGCTTTTGGCCAACACTCTCACACTCGCACTTACAGCAGCTGAATCGCAAGGATCCAGCAGGACAACCTTCAGCACTGTTTGTTCGCCGTTTTAGGTTGCTCCGATGTTTGTTTGCGCTCCTTCTGCGGCTCTGTTTACGTTAGCACTTTATACCTCGACAGTCGCTGTAGTAGTTGCTGTTTTTATCTCACTCGAGTTGTTTGTTATTTTTAGAATGCACACTTGTACCTTTTCATCTTGCCACTTGAGGGTGGAATGCTGCATTTACAATGCTGATGCTGCGCCTGCTAAATGTGGGCCCTCTTAAGTGGGCAACGATTTTCGCAGCCATGCCAATTTATGGAGGCTGAATGTAAATGGGAACTCAACTACTGCCATTAGGCCTCGCTTATATTGAATTTATTTCCCCGAGTTACTAATGGCGCAACTGTGATTCACTTTCCCCGGCCTTCTGCCTTCTGCCTTCTGCCTCCCAACTTCCCTTCGCTATCCTTTCTCAGAACTGGGGCTACGTGTCTGGTTGGTTGCGCGACGGTGGGGAAAACCCAACAAGTGTTTCCCCAAGAACGTGCCTTATGTAATCAGCGAAAGGAAGCTGCGGCAGCTGCGATTGCTACGTTCTGTGGTGGCCAATTTCGAATGAAATTGAATCCCATTAACTAATCATAAAGAAGTGAAAGCGGCTCGCAGCAGGCTGGCTCCGATAGGCGCCCATTCTCTGGTCCGAGTGTTTACCCAACGGCCAGGATAAATGCACCGTCAATCCATTTAATTTATGGCACAAGAGAAGCCACAGCTTAGCTTAGCTAACCAAATACCAACACTCGGCCAGGCAAAAGGGAGCCACCGGGAAATCCGTGCGAGGGCTGGGAAAACAGCAGGGAAAATCTAAACAGGAGGTTAAAGCGGAAATTCATTGCCAGTCCCGGCCACGTTTGAAGTGTGAGAAATTAGCGCCGTGCCAGCGGCAATACCAATCCCATTCACGATCCACGCACACACACACACACATACACCCACACCATCCGCACACCCACGTGACTGTCACACACATTGATAGATGAAACAAAGCTGGCTGGCAGCCATAACTTCTAATAAAGGCAGTCCGAGTGGCCGGGGTAATATTTAATTTACTTTTAATTTGCGACAATTTCCGTTCAACTTGATTGAATTCCGATTGCAGTGGCTGCTCGCTTAAATCGGCATGCCATGAATTATTCGCAGGAGCTTAATGGCCTTTAGTTTTTTCCCGGCTGCTCACTTTTCATTTATTTGCGATTAATTAATGGGAGCAGAGAGAGCCTGATATTGGGGGTCTCTAATTACATTTTATGTTAATTGAATGCACTTGGCACACGAAAAACTTCAAGTCGGACCGAACGGCTTCGGCGTCTGTCCGTCACACACGGCGGCTACGTGATAACTGAATCCTCTGTCCCGAGTCCTGCGACACTCTGCTCTCAACACTGCGACGCCACTGTTGCTACGGATGCTGAGTCCTTTGTATTTATTGCACACAGAACAGCAGCCGCCAACAACTCAATCTCTTCTGGCTGCTCTCTCGCGCGAGAGAGAGTGGGAGAGCTCTCTTTCCGCTTTTATGAATGAGTTGTGCGCAATAAACACAGCTGGAGCAAGGAGCAGAGAGCCAAGTATAACATAGTACTGTTAGCCAAAATGTTACTTGCCGGATTCATGCAAATTGCATTAAAGTGAATCAGTTATGTGCCGTTATCCTGGCCTTTTCGCAGCAAATTGCATTTGCCTCGCCGCCACTTTGGCGGCAGCGCCTTTAGGCCTTGTTGGCCTGCATTTACCGCCTGAAATTGCATTGCCCCTGCCCCCAGGATAATGCAAAACAATATCAGGCGCCGGAGCCGAGATTGTCACCTGCGTTTTCGCTTTACTTTATTTACATTGCACGGAGAAAAACATATCACTCGGGATGGAAGTCACTTTCTAGTTCCTCATTGTTATTCCTTGCAAACTGCGCGGAGTTAGTGTATATTTCAGGGGTCAAACTAAACATAGTTAAAATAGGTTTCTTAAAAAGAAATGCTTAAAAACTAAGTCTCTGTCTGATCATTCACCTATGACTATCCCCTAAGGTTATATTAATAAAATGTAAAGGAACATATCCTAGACATTATGTACACATAGAAAGTTAATCCATTATGGCTTGACTTTTAATTTCTTACAATTATTCGTTTTTTCAATCAAAGGAACTATGTAAAGAAAATGTTTTCTTCGGCTTGTCATGTTTTGGGCAACCAAAGGCTTAATTTATTGTTTAAATTTGATTAAATGTTAAGTAATGTTTTTAAAGTAAAGTCTTTATAAATAAAACCACTTAGGCTTTTGCACAATAATCTAATGTGATAATGCCCAAAAGCATCTGTTATGGTAAACAGAACTAAATAAAGTCTTCAACTACTCAACAACATATTACTTTTCTGTTACTAAACTACCACTTTCTGTAACTAAACTAACAATCAATACCTGAAGTCATTTTAACCAGCAATTAATTTGAATTTCTAGCTATCACATGACTAAAATCAATTTAAGAACTATAAATTGTATAAGAAAATATCTTAAGTATACTTTCAAAGCATTTATAGAATATACCAAGTACACATACTCAAAAAAAACTATTTTATCTGCTTATTTTGATTTGAAAGACTTAAGAGACGAAAAACATAGAAAGCTTTCCCGATTTATCGATGATATTGTCGACAGGCACTCATGCACGGCAATATAAACTTCGTTGCTTAACCTGACAAAGATTATATAGTCTTCATAGTTTCCGAAACTTTATGAATTTACGTTGAATTACATTTTTGATATCTGTTCCGCGAGGGAGAACGTTGTGCAGGACGTGCGGCTTGACAGCACCACCGCCACCACCACCAACAGCACCAGCACCAGCACCACATGTTAAAGTTCAGGCTTAAGCACCGGGAGTAAAGTGTAAATATGTAAATGACAAAAGCCGGGCGCACACACTCAAGGACACAGGGGCTGTCAGGACTGTGAGGCCGTTGAGTGACATGCGATGTTGCTGCCGCTATTGCTGCCACTGTGAAGCTTGTTAGACATTACAATGCGTGTTTGTGCCAGGATAACTGTCAACAGTTGCCGTTGAAATCGCTGCTTCCTCTCCTTTCTTATTCTCATTCTTATTTTTCTTATTTTCAAGTTTGCTAATTTCTTTTGTACATTTTCGAGACGCCTAACAACGTCATGCATTAACCTGAAATAACAATGGCCCGTGCTAACTAGAGGGCCAGTCACCATGTCACCATGTCAGCATGTTCCTCGGATCACGTGCAACAGTTGTTGGCGATGGAAGGCGGCAGATGAATCATGACCAAGGAGTTATTTGGCATGTTAAACACACCGAACGCAATCAATTCATTTCCGACCATATGAGAAATGCCAATTGACCCACTCCGAAAGCCGAATATTTATGTGCATGCAAATTGGTTTCGACCCTCGCCCCCTGGGAGAGTCATGTGGGCTGTGCTAAATATTTATATCGTTATGGCTAAACAATAAGCCCAGCTGACAGATGATGCCGATCCGATATGAATATAGTGTTTGCCAAAGCAATTATCTTGTTTCCCCACAAATGTGCAAATTAATCGGAATCATAATAAGCCGAGAGCGATATGAAAAGCATTATTTAAATACTTAACTATTTATTATACATGTGCATGTACGAGCATTTAATTAAGAGTTATGTCATGCCATTCTAGCCGATATATAATATTTGTTCAAAACATATGTAAATCACAAACATAAAGTTTTGATGGCCTTCTGGCTTAATGGTTGATTTAAAAATGCAGAGTCCTGGCAGAATATAATTATACTTTGGGAAAATGAAAATATTTACTTTGGCCAGGCTGCGTTTTGTTTTTATTTACTACACCGAAATAAATCCTTGGCAATCGTGTGGAAAGTTTAATAAAACTGGCAAGTGCCCTTCCCCGACTTTCATTCAAACGCCTTCTTTGTATTGAAATTTGAAAAGCATCTTTTGAGCAGCATCTTAGACTAATCCTTTCGTAAGTCCGAACAAAGTCTATTACAAAACTTGAGCCATAAATATTAAAATATATTGTTTTAAAATTTCAGCCTGGCAGGCCATAAAAATGATTCATTTAATTGGACATGTGCTTGCTAGGTGGCAAGGAGCCGGCCCAAGGCGGGATGGCTTAAGTTTATGCAAATTAAATTACAATTATAAATTCCGAGCACCATTCCTGCCATCCGAGATGGCCCTGACCAAGTGGCTATCTCGCCGGAGCCATCATCTTGGCCTAATCTCAGGACAGCCTCGGGCTGACATTACACTTGCAAATGCCATATGCCAAATGTAAATATTTAAAATGCTAAAACACATTTGACACTCGAGAGTCTGCAGCTCTTTGACAGACGCTTCTCAGTGGCATTGTTGAGTAATCTGCCTCCTGTCCCGCATCATCCAAGTGTTTTTGTTGGGGATTCACTCCAAGCGACGACTCAAGGCACTTGTGCAATGCCATTCGTTGTCAGGATAATACCCTTTGAATGCCGGTCCTTAATACTTGCTTAATTCTGAAAATATTTTAATGCCCTGCCATTGAAATCTGAAATTAATTTTATGTCAAATAGTTTCAAGCTTAACTTTTGATTCATATTCGAGTATTTCGTGGAAAATACATTTTATTCTGGACGACATTTTCCATTCATCCTTCCATTGGCTGGCCACATCTGATCACCTGCAGATGGAGTTCGATGACCATTAAATTAAATTGATACTGCAATTGAAACGAGCTTGACGCACATTTTCCATTCATTTAAACAGAAATAGCTTGAAGCTGTATCGACATTTCGGAATTAAATTCGTTTCAAGAGCAGACTTTCTACGATAAAAGCGCAAAAATTGGGTGTTAAAAATGTTTGAAAGTTTTTTCGTGTACCAAACAGAAGTTGGAAAAGTGAACCCACACGCATAAGTGTGTGTGTATATAGGTGCATAGTTGGCGAAACTAACAACAATATGGAAATCAGTTAACAGAAAAAATAAAGTAAAGTAATGGAATGAACCCGAGACTTTACCAACTTTGACTTTTTCCCAGAAACATTTTTGGTCTCACGGGCGGAAGGCTTTCGTTTCGGAATCTCGTATCTAGTGCCAGTGTCAGTGCAGCCAAGTTATCTTAATTCAAGACAAAGTTACCCTTTTTAATGAGCCATAACCAGAAAAACTAATATTACTTTCTTGAAACTAAGGGTTCTCTCTACATTGTACTTCATAGAAGAACTGCACCGCATTGTCTCGTAATTAGTGAATAAATTTGATTAATCAAAATAAGTTTCATCCCTTTAACAAAGACTGAAATATCTCATATTAATAGCAGAACACGAACATTTAATATAACATGACACAATTTAACATATTTCCAAGGACATATCTACCGCTTTTTCTAGAGCCACATGTCCAGGCCCTAAAAATGGCAACACTGTCCTGTGGCTTGGGGCCACTTCCTGTTTTCATAGCTGTTATCTACGTCTTTTGTCTCCTGACCGAAAAGTTTGTCCTCCGCCTGCCAGCGGCTTGATTAAAGCGAAACTTAAATGCAAAACACTTCAAAATTGTCTGATTACGGACGCTGGAAAACGGAATGCAATTGCGAGCAATCTCGTCCTGCACCTGTAATTATGGCACGGCGAATGGAAAATGTGGGAGACGCGGGCCTCGGCAAACGACCATTGAAGTGTAACACAAAAGTATGAAGGATTGCTAAAAGCAATTTGAAAACAACAGAGTGAAAACGCTTCTAGCTACCAGCTCCCAGCTCACAGCTCCCCGATCTCATCTCGCGGCTCCCCGAACTCAAGAATGGCAGAAGTTGGCGTTGCCATGGCAATTATGAAGCTGCAAGAGGTTGCAGCGCTTCGAATGGATGAGTGGGGTGCCACGACATAGCAGCCTGCAGCTCAAGGGTACACTTAGAAATCATCATTGCTTAGATTTAAGAGACTTAACTTCTTTTTTATTTTTAGAAATTGAGAGAAACATCTTTTTGGGTCCCGTCATGGGATTGGAGTAACTTCTCAAAATTAATTTAAATTTAATTTAGTAACAAATGACAGATTTATCTTTTCTTAATATATATGTTTAGATCTAGAGTTTTTTCCTTAGTGCAAAGTTTATTCGAAGTCAAAGATTAAATTTCTCACTTAAAAATTGTATATGAGGATAGGATTTTCTATAAAATGAATGATAAAAGCTAGTTATGGACTTCCTGCTAACAATAGTCATGAGAAACTTGAGCCTTCAGCTCGTTGGATAGAGCACAAAGAATAGTTATTTTTAAAGGTTTATATTGCTCCCATTATCAGTAAAGGTTTAGTTTTTGTTTTCCGCTATTATGCAGATATAAATATCCTTTCTTTCTAAAGGTTCGGTACTGT